CGGTCGCTCCATCATATCTGTTAAATACATACTGTAACTGTGATGACAGAAACATCGGAGTATTCGTAACCTAAAACATGAGAGAACACACAGGGAAATGTGAGGATAATATTAATGCCACACAATCGACTTCACGTAATGCTGCATCTAACATATAAAGAGAATAAAAAAAAAACGACAAGCAATCTTTCCGAAACTTTCCTGCGTTCAGACACAATCGCTTCCACGGAACGATTCAACAATCATAAGATGGGGATATGGGAAAGAAGGAAGAACCTCATATAACACAATATCTAGGCATGCATTCACCGACTTGTTTAAAGAGTTGTCAGATGAACGCGTACATTCGAATTAACAACAGCGTGGTATTGTCCCGAACCACTTGTGGCGCATTATTCATAAGGTTGATTTCAAATAGAGTTATTTCCTCTCCTGGTAAGTCTGGGATGACGGTGTAACGCAAGAAATGGTGAGTGAGGCGTTTGAATTTGGTCCAAACGGAGGAAGGTAGAATAGGAGGTCAAAGGTGGATTATGATTTCTAATAATAAGTCAAAATTTGATGATTATTTTATATTGACGAAATCCCCAAAAGCCACGATCAAATTTGTGGCGATGACGAACAATGAGATGTGATTACGTGCTTCGTTTTTTATTAAACGGTGTGAATATTGTTAATGAAGACAATCATCTCATCATTTAATTATTTACACTTCAATAGAAAATCTCCTGGTTCAATCTGTTTTCTGTTTACGCATTTGCCATTTTATTTACTTGGCAAGCATTCAGTAGTCTATTTTACCTTTCACCGGTTTTACCATTGTGCACAACAACCATTTTGTTCAGCACAGTGAACATATTGGGTAGATGTATAAACACAACAACAAACAGTTAATTTAATTTAAGGAAATGATATACTCGTGCGCATTGATGACCATGGCTATTGTTCGTGGATATAATTAATGCACGAGATTGCTTCCGGTTTATTGTTCTTTATTTTGTTTCAATGATTCGTGTAGACACGCATAATTTTTTAATAAAATATACATTCTCGATAGTTGAAGAATGTCAGCATTCTTCGGCATCGAATTCCATCTTCTAACCGAACGTCACTGGATATTAATAAATGAAAGGTTAAGAAGAGATGGTGATAATTAGAGAAGATCGTGCGTAGGTACTTACGTACGTTAGGTACAGCACATGCATATATATTGTGAACCTTGCTTGCATCTCATTGAACATTTATGCAACATAAGTACATAACGCTGCGCATTTACGCGTATGACCACGCATCACTCGTTCATCTCTAGCTCTATTCATCCGAAACATCGCGCGCGACATCCCAGCTTTCAATACAATAGAATATTAATCCATTTACTTTTATCAAGCGCACAACGAGTTTTACTCTCACCGTCGAAGCCATTATTCCATTCCCGGAAATACGGGTAACCCATCGTCACCACCTAATTTAGTCGATCTGTTACACGGGGTGGATGTTTCTGCTGCTGCATCAGCGGTAGATGATTTAGATATTGGATATTTCAAAGGAAAAAGATTTCCATGGGCATCACGCATTTCGTGTCGTATTTTGATTTGTCATTCATCATCATCATCCTTTTTATGCTTAAACGTTTTAACCTCATCACAACAACACAGGGATCCACAGTTTTCTCCCAAGAAGGTTTAATGACCGTCGGTGCAAACTTTTTACCGGGGGACACACGAAAATTTATTGTATCCACCTACGGAGACTAGTCAATGGAAATCCGTACCCGAAACAGAATAAAAAATTGTTTCCCGTGGTAGTTAATGAGGGTGATTTGTGAGCCGAGATTGGTGTGGTGAAATGCAAACCGGAGAGTAAACAATG